AAAGGTATAGTCTGCACATCGGTTTTTACTTCACTTTGTAATGGACACTCCGGTTTCCACGCTGATCAGCAGAATGGATACGGAAGGCTGCTGTGACAATAACTACGCTAAAACTACATATGCTACTTGACCTGACGTTCAGTCATTCTTAATAATTAGGACATTTTCAGCGGAGCTTTAACAGATACTGCGCACACGCATCAAACAAGGACATTTCTTATGATATCGAAGCATATGTGGTATAACAGTGATGTAGGAAAACGCACGTACTACGGCAGCATCTCATCTTAGTGTACGCAGCCTATTGCACACTATCACACTTAAATATAGCAGTCACAAGATAGCATTATGTGCATGGAGCAGCTGATATATTCTCTATGGCTACACAGACACGCAAATCACACTAAAGCAGCACGCAACACACGCGCGTGACACTCTCTCACCGCCAGCATTGCAGTCACACTTGATGCCTGATAGAAAGCACTGTATATGCATAGGGCCTATTCTTATCGGGATCTACCTGACCCGCCCGACGCCGATGGACACTAAGCCACAACGATCTGCGTCCTGGCTAGTGCCTTGCTGTCGGGACACTGGTCAGCCTACTTAATAATAACTACAACACCAAAACTTCGTGTCTTAAGATTACTGCGAGCTCTCACGAAGCCGAAACTCGCGTCCAGAGCCTCGTTGGGCCTCGAGGAGTCGTTTAAAGAAACCAGCCAAACCGCGAATGAAGAAGCTGACAAGACACCCGCGAAAAATCTATTCTAGAAAATCTTAAGACCTAGATATATCCATTACTTGGGTAAGTAAGCTCAGCAACTATCACGCCAGAAGGATAATCATACAACTGGCGTTTATCCGTTATCCATTCAGCCTCATCAATCACAGGATAGGCCTTTGTGTCCATGTAAAGAAAGTTCACCATTCGTCTGCTGACGATAAGCGCAAACAGATGTCATTTCGCGTGTTCGGAGACTTTCGTGTGTTCGGAACAACTCAGGAGAGAAAATCAATGGAACAGAAAGTTTTCTAAATCCTCACGTGTAAGCGCTGTGAAAATATCAGAGATCAAACCAAAATGCTATTATTGTAAAACATTCTATGTGGAAGAGAAAAGTATTGATATAAAATCAGCACGAACGTTTCAGTCGTAAACATTTAACCATTACAACTAAAACGCCACATCATACCAGATATATTTACAAACATTACTCACACCAAAATAGAGTATATTTTCATAGATACTAAGTTCACTAATAACAACCACACAGACCTGGGATGGCGAATGCAAACAGACAGAGCTTATCTACCACGCAACCAACGAGTGAAAAGTCCATTCACTGGAATCCATAAAAATTACCAATAGAGCTAATTCAAAGAAAAAATACGATTTAGTTTTATATTCAGTAAAAATATTCACCATATACATCCACAATACTTCACAACGTCACAATTTTTCTTCTTCAAGTAAGCAGTAAAAACTACCGTCATATACAAGTTGATATCTAATATCGTAGTGTGTTTCGTAATTTTTTGATGATATGACTAATTCAAGCTCGGAGGCTCAATCTACGTACTGGTTGGACTTCTTGACGAACTGAAACAAGTATGTCCGTATAATCGTGATCTGCAACACTCCAGGTTGCGAGATCATGACACTTGCATGATTTTTCCAGACTTGATTATTAAATTCCTAGACTTTAAAAATTACACGACCACAAATGTGACAAAGAGGGATAGGTAGAATTGAGTAGATATCAAGAGATAGGTTGATGTATATATTGGTCAAGAGATAGGTTGATGTATATATTGGAAGAGAGGAAGAGAGAGAAAGAAACGTAGATAGATAGAAATAGATAGATAGATAGAGAGAGAGAGAGAGAGGACGTCTCGAAAAGAACAGAAGCAACATCAGATCGTAGTTTAGTCTTAACATTAATTAGTTTAATGTACTTTTCTCCGCCCAGTTTGGTCTCCCGGTTAAGAGAAAAACCAGAACACGTTATCCACGAACACCTTGGCACCCTGACACCGAGAGCGAGCGAAGGACGCCGTGCTGGAGCCAAGTTTCACCAAATCCGTAATCAAACGCGACTCCGGTGAAACTCGAAACGCCTCTTCAAAAAAAAAAAGAGAAAAAAGATCGACACGATCGTCGTCGGGGATTTTTTATTTTATTTTGTTTTTCTTTACATTTTGATATTCTTATTATTATTTTGAACGAGGTTTTGATTTTTTGAGAAGCTACATTTCGTCATTGTTGTTTTTTTTCCTTGATGATTCTAAACGACGGTTTCGCTGACAGGAAAGAGAGCTTTTCGGCTTCGCTTGTTTCCACGGAGTTGAAGTGGCATGTGGAAAGGGGGGAAGAAGGGAAAGAAGAAACAGATTAAGTAGAAAGGGAGGAACAGGAAGAAGACGAATAATTTGGAAAGAGAGGAGATGAAGTGAAATAAGAAGAAACAGAAGAATAGAAATAAAGAGAACGTGGGGAGGGGGGGGTGAAGGAGGGAGAAGAAAAACATAAGGAGGAAAATTTGAAAGGAGGAAGAAGATAAGAGAGATACAAGAAAAACAAAATTACCTGGGGGTCAGTTACACGTGCCTTGTGCGTGCATTTCACCATCGACGGAGCATGAGCCTAGCGAAGCAGGCAGCAAAATACAAATTAAGCTTCTACATCAAAGCTTCTCCTTAGTTTCAGTGCTTTGAAATGGGCAAATGATTTCAAAATTTATGTCATGTCATTCACTTACCAGCGAAGATGACGAGGAACAAACATACATTTACTACAGCCCTTATTTTCTCTCTCCAGGAAATTACGCATCGAGTTTGAGCGGACAATTCGTATCGGGGGAACGGCTCAGCGGCCCAGCTTATCTCGGGGCCGGCGAGCGAGGCTCCGACGCCCACCTGCGAGGGCTTATGGCAGCAGCTCGTGATGTTTCCAAGCTGACGCCGAGGTTGTTCTAATGTCAAATGTTGTGAGAATGTAAAGGATTTAATGAATAGCAAGACTAATCGAGGCCTTCGGTCATGACGGCTGTTGGTCAAAGGTCATCAACGCGTGGGCGATGACGTCATCCGCTTGATGACGTCACGCGAGCTGTGACGTCAACCGGACTAGTGACGTTACCTTGGCTTGGACTTTCATCCGCTTTATGACGTCAAGTGATTGCGAGAAACGGAAATCGGTGAAAACGAGACAGGAAACGCAACGACAGCGGGAATTCAGACGAGAATGGTACTTCCGTCTGCCACTTCTGTGTATACTTGTGGCTACAGACTTAAGACGAGTGGGTGTGCGATCTATTAAACGTCGAACAAGATGCAATAGACACGCCGAGAGCACCGCTTGATTATGCAATGCGATTCACGAAAAGAGAAAGACAAGGATGCAGTAGAGAGAGAGAAGAGAGAGAGAGAGAGAGAGAGAGAGAGAGAGAGAGAGAGAGAGAGAGAGAGAGAGAGAGAGAGAGAGAGAGAGAGAGAGAGAGAGAGAGGAAGAGGAAGAGGGACAGGGCGGAAGAAAAGCGAGATTGATACTGGAAACGCAAAACCAACGGCTCTCCCTTGTCTCTCAAAAAACCTCCGCCTGCGCGTCCTTCGCCCGTCTCAGGTTACCCTTGGAGACCTCTGTTGACCTTGGCTTAACCGCACCTGGCCGGGGGAGGGGGGGCGAATTAGGGTAGGTGAGGCAAGGTGCCTTGGTCTCCGGCGCGCCGGGTCTGGGGCCGGAAAGCCAGCGCTGAGATCGATTCGGCGTCTGGTCTCTATACCGAGTCTGGGGCTGGAGTGTCGGAGTTCAGGATGATCTGGTTGGTCTCTGCGCGCACGCCGTTGCCCACGGAGACCTGCTGGTCCCGCCACGGCGTGGTCAGGATCTTCAGGCGCTGCGGAAGGAGGGAAGCGCGTCAGCACACACACACAGACATACGCATACACACACAGGCAAAGACATTCGAGTGTGAAACTATCCCACACGAGCCACTCTGGGCGTCCGAGACTCCTGCGGGCCACCCACCTTGGAGAAGGACGCGGGCCCGGGCAGCCGCACGATCTTGTAGACGGCCACGAAGGGGATCATGACCATGGAGGAGCCGGCCATGACCCAGCCCAGGAGGTCGGTCCACCACGGGTACATCCCCGAGGGGTCGGTCGAGAGCGGCTTGTAGTCGTACAGGCCGTACACGATGATGGTCTGGAAGGCGGGCGAACGGCGTTAGGTTGGCGGGTCTGTCATGCTTTCCATGTTTTCAATCCTTCCTTTGTATCTGACTCTCCGTTCTTACTCAAATGGTGTTTAGTTTTTGTTCTTTAGAACTAGTGTCTCTGTTAACCCATTAAGTGTATGCCTTTTGTGATAGAGTTCATGCATGTGCATCTGTATCTGGAGAGGAAGTTCTCCCTATTTCGGTTTATTATTTCACTCTCACAGTTTCTCTCCCAACTCTCTCTCTCCCTTCCCATCTTCCCTCTCACCTCGCCACCTCCTGCTTTCCTCTCTCTCTCTCTGTCACACTCGCTGTCTCCACCTTCTTCATATACCCTCCCATTCCTCCTTCTAATACGCCTCTTCTCCAGCTTCCTTTCTTCTCTTCTTCGTCTCCCTCTCCTTCTCCCCTTCTCTCCTCTTACACCCCTCTCCGCCTTCTCTTCCTTTCACCCTCCCCTCTCCTCCTTGGCTCCTTCCCTCTCCCATTATCCCCCTTCTGCCCTCCTTTCCCCTCTTACATTCCTCTCTCTCTCCCCCTTCCAAACTCCCTTACCCTCTCTTCTTCACCAATCCTCTCCCTCCCCACTTTCCCTCTTCCTCCTTCCCCACCCTTCTCCACTTCCTCTCCTCCCCACCCTCCACCTCCCCCTGTGATGATTGGCGAGTGGAAGCGTTCTCATTTATCAGTCTTCCTGACCCGCGTTCCGATCCCGCACCGCCAGTGGATGCCAACCCCGGCCCACCTTCCGCACAAGGATGATTTAGACGCAAACATAAC